TGTGAACGTGTGGGTGGTGTGTGGGTGTGTACGTGTGTGTGTAGAGGTGAGTGTGAACGTGTGGGTGGTGTGTACGTGTGTCTAGAGGTGAGTGTGAACGTGTGGGTGGTGTGTGGAGTGTACGTGTGTGTGTAGAGGTGAGTGTGAATGTGTGGGTGGTGTGTACGTGTGTGTGCGTGTGTGTGTAGAGGTGAGTGTGAACGTGTGGGTGGTGTGTGGGTGTGTATGTGTGTGTAGAGGTGAGTGTGAACGTGTGGGTGGTGTGTGGGTGTGTACGTGTGTGTAGAGGTGAGTGTGAACGTGTGGGTGGTGTGTGGGAGTGTACGTGTGTGTGTGTGAGGTGAGTGTGAACGTGTGGGTGGTGTGTGGGTGTGTACGTGTGTGTGTGAGGTGAGTGTGAACGTGTGGGTAGTGTGTGTGAGTGTACGTGTGTGTGTAGAGGTGAGTGTGAACGTGTGGGTGGTGTGTGGGGGTGCACGTGTGTGTGTAGGGGTCAGTGTGAACGTGTGGGTAGTGTGTGGGAGTGTACATGGAGGGTGTGGGTGTGAGCTTACGTGTGTCAATGGGGTGAGTGTGAACACGAGGGTGTTGTATGTGAGTGTATGTCCGTGGTGTGCGTGGATGCACGGCTGCCGTGTGGAGTGCACGTGTGTGTTGGAGGTGGGGCAGGGGACGAGGGTTGTCCATAGCTGCATGGACATCTGTCCGCAATAGCAGAGGACAGGGCCTCGCGTGATCTGCTCCCTGCTCAGGTCCCATGATTCCTCATAAATACTCCCAGAAGACACTCTTGGTTCCTGGACCAGCCTGGAGGGGCCAAGGGCTACCTGTGAGTGTGTCCTTGCTGTTGTCAGAGGCCACGGCCAGGAGCACAGTGTGGAGTCCAGGACACACCCCCAAGCAACAGGAGTCCTGTCCCGTCCTGCTGTCCAGTGGGCTGAACACTGTGCCTGCTGCCAGCGGACAGAGGCCAGCTCAGGACCCTGACTCTGAGGAGGTAGGACGGTCACCCCCTCGGCAGAGGGGCAGTAGCCTGAATGGTCAGCAAGATGGACGAGCCAATGACAGCTGAGTTGTCAGGAGACAGTGTGTCTGAGGACATGGTGGGGACACAGCCCTGACGGCATCCTCCTATGAGACCCAGACATGGGAAAAGCCACGTGGATGGACAGACAGCAGCTGAGTGAGGAGCATGTGAGGAAGCAGGGTCAGGGTGGACAGGCCAGTCTCCCCCAGGGTGGCGGGTGAAAGCTGGTCCAGGGACACCTGAATGCAGTCTGGCCTTCAGAATGAGAGGAAACAAGACTGGCTTTTGTTAGAGCGATCCTGGGACAGGGAACACCCCGGAAGGCTGTCGGGGACCCGCCAGTCACCTGACCGCAGAACTGTGCAGGCACCAAAGGAAGGCGGTGAGAGTGGACTCCGGAGGATCCAGGGCACCTCGTGCTTGGACAGAGGCCGGCAGCTATGCTATGGAAGCCAGGTGCCCAGTCGTGATGGGTCACGGTCACACAGCATCAGCACCACTCTGACCACCTCGGATTTTCCCCTAAGCCTTTGTCAACATGTCCCTGGTAACCATGAAACTACAAACTCAGCACAAGACAGGCAGGTGGAGGATCTGCTGCCTTGAACGCTCCAGAGGAGGTCAATTCCCACACAGGTCACCCAGAGTCCCCACCACATCCTCATCCACCATCTCTACCACCCCCACCTCAGCACCGACGAGCAGGTGGTCCAGGAACACGTGCAGGTCGTTCCCCCCAACAGGTCACCTGGAGTCCCCACTCACCATCTCCACCACCTCCACCTCGGCACTGATGCGCAGGTGGTACAGGAACATCTGCAGGTCCTTCTTCATCTGGATGCTGTTGTCGTCCACCTGGGCCACCGTGAAGATGCGCATGCGGCACTTCCTCCACACCTGGGGCAGGAAGGCAGTTATCCAGTGAGCGCTGGCCAGAGGGCCACCCTCCTCATGAGTCACAGACAAATACCGGGCAGCATGGGATGTCCACCTCGTCCCCCCACAGATCTCCACCCAGAGACACACCTGTGACAAAACTACAACACACCCATTGACAGAACCACCACCCATGACAGATGTCATGTGACAGACCCAAACAGGACAGACCCTGGGGAATAGACCCAGTGTGCCAGACTCCACGTGGCAGACCCCATGTGGCAGACCCCACGTGGCAGATCTTCTGTGGCAGACCCCGTGTGAAAGACTCCACGTGGCGGACTCCACGTGGCAGACCCCGTGTGACAGACCCCACGTGGCAGACCCCGTGTGGCAGACCCCGTGTGACAGACTCCACGTGGCAGACCCCGTGTGGCAGACTCCACGTGGCAGACCCCACGTGACAGACTCCGTGTGGCAGACCCCGTGCGGCAGACCCCGTGTGACAGACTCCACGTGGCAGACCCCGTGTGACAGACTCCACGTGGCAGATCTTGTGTGGCAGACCCCAAGGGCCCACCTTGTGCTGGCGTAGCAGGAATGGCAGCAGCATGAGCATGCCCCCGTCGTGAACGACCCACCACACGTCAATGTGGCCGTCACTGAAACGCTCCTGGTTCTGTGGGAACAGGTCCACGTTCTTGGCCACCAGCAGGGCCTGGTGTGCCGCCGTGGTGTCTCGGACAGTGTCTGTGGAGAGATGGCAGCCAGCATATCCCTGGGTGACATGGGGCAACGAAAGTACGTTCCCAGGGAATGTCATGGCCACGTGCCTCCCAGAGGAGGGCTGTACCCACCAACAAAGTTCTTCCATGAGAAGGTGTTGTCCTCCTGTCTCCAGGACTCCGGCCAGGCCATCAGCACCGTGTTGTGCTTCATTCCCCCCAAGCCAGCGGACTGGATCAGGTGGGATGTGCCATCCCGTAGGCTGGACGATACCACCAGCTGACAGAAGCCCTTGGTCTTCTCCACACCCATCAGGGACCGGATGTTCTGTGGGAGATGGCACAGGTCAGCAGGGGCACATGCCCTGCCCCCCTCTGTCAGGGCCCTGGGAGGTAGCACAGTAGAGTGACACACCACATCCACAGCTGATGGTAAGGGAACCCCAATACTCATGAGAGCTACAAAGAGCAGCATGTTGCAAGGAGGGACTGGTCCTTGGAGAGGACATCATGTTTGGGAGAGTGGAGGGACGGCGCAGGAGAGGAAGACCTTCAATGAGATGGATCGATTCTGTGAGCGGAGTGGTGGGAATGAGTGTGTTTGAGACGGCGAGGTTGGCACAGGATAGAACGGCCTTTAGGGCTCTTGTACACAGGGTTGCTATGAGTCGCAAGCGACTCGATGGCAACAACAACAACAACAACAACACAAGAAGCAGCAGAGCCAGCACAAGACCGAAATGCAGGAATGAAGGGTCTCCGTCCACCAGCAAAGAGCATGTGAAAAGAAACGTGCTGACAATTCCACACACACAAGTGCATCTGAGCAACTAAACACGCAGATCAACTTAACCAGAGGCATGAAACGCCTTTATGTTAAAACCTATCAAATGTTGCAGGCAGCCATCAAAGATGACCTAGTAAACAGAAAAGCATCCTGTAGTTACCACCTGCTGCCCAGCAGGCTCCAACATGTAGTGACCTTAAGTAAAAATAAAACAAGGGCTGCCTGATCCCAGTACTATCGCCACTGCTGTTGCTGAAGTCCACAGTGGCAGCAACTGCCAGCACACCTCACTGAGGGTCACCCTTGTCCCTGCTGACCCGCTTCACCAAACATGATGGCCCTACTGTTGTTACTGTTGTTAGGTGCCATTAAGTTGGCTATGACTCACAGCAACCCTATAAACAATGGCTCTATCCTGAGCCAGCCTCACCATGTCATCCAGAGTCTTTCTCTCCTGCACCAACCCTTGACCCCTTGACCCTTCCAAGCATGGTGTCCTTCTCCAAGCACTTGTCTCTCCTGGCAACATGCCCAAAATACAGGAGACAGAGCTTCAAAATCCTTGCCTCCAAGGAGCAACCTAGTTTCACCCTCTCCAACTGGCTTTTCCTGATGACACAAGTCCAAGTTTAAAAATCTAAAGAGCATTCATGGCTCTATTTACTATTATGGTCAACATCCTTCACTAATACCAAAATGTGAGTGCATCAGTCTTTCTCCTTATACATTTTCACATACATGAGAGGCAAGTGGAACGAGCATGGGTTAATCATCAGAGTGACACCTTTAAAGACTCAGCGTTCAGATGGTCATATTTTTCAAAGGAATCCACTGATTCAACACAATGTTGATCAACATTCCAATAGCCTTCGCACAGAAATGGGAAAAGGTAATGCTCAAACTGCCGTGGAATTGTAAGAGGCCCCAAACAGCCAGAACAACAACAATAAAAAACAAAATGGGAAGGATCACACTCCCCAATTTCCAGGTGTCCTACAAAGCTGCAGTAATCATCACATTGTGGGGAGCCTGGTGCACAAATGAATACAAAAGACCAGAGGAAGGGTCCTGACACTTCAGAAACAAACATCTATTTAGGGTGGATCGATTTTTGGTAATAGGGTCAAATATTCCTGAGGAGAAAGGGCAGTTTCTGGATACTGAGACAACTAGATTTTCACACATAAAGGAAAGAACAGTCAGATCCCTACCTCACACCATATAAAAAAAATCTCACTCAAAACTGACCACCAGCTTGAACACAAGAACTAAAGCCACAACATTCCTATGAAAAAACCAAGGGTTCATTTTCACAGCCTTGGTCAGGCAGCAGTGCCTCCGACGAGACACAGCAAAAGCATAAGCAGCAAAGCAGGAGTGAAGAGATCCTCACCAGGATCCAAAACTCATGTGCGACCGACACTATCCAGAAAGTGAAAACACAAATAGAGGATGGAGAACACATTTGAAATCTACTAAGAGTTTAACATCCACACTATCCAGAGAGTTCCTATTACTTAACAAGAAAAATACAAACCTCCCAAACAAATGTGAAGAGGCATTTTATTTTAAAAAAAAAATACAATCAACTCTTGGGAAAAGCTGTTCAGTGACCTGAGGCACTGAAAATGCAAACAAAAATCACAAGGAGCAGCCCTCATCCTCTCCAGGACTGCTCGTCGACAAAGGGTGTCAGTGAGGATGGGAGACATTACTCTCACCCACTGCCAGTGCGGCCATGTGAACGTACGAACACCACTGACTGAAGGGCTTAGGAAAAACTAAAGCACCCTCTATGGTGTGTGTGTGAGAATACGGGGGTGAGGACACATGGAAAAGCACATGAGGATGAAGAACACATGGGCAAGAACATGTATGTGAGAACACGAGTGGTGTGAGAAGACAGAGGTGAGAACATGTGGGAGAGCACATAAAGATGAAGAACACATGGACGAGGACACATGAGTGAGAACACGGGACAGAACAAGGGTGGTGTGAGAATATAGGGGTCAGAACGCAGGAGTGAGAACACAGGTGGTGTGAGAATACAGGGGTGAGAACATGTGGGAGAGAA